TAGTCAATGACACTATTATTTCAAATTTTAACACAGCCTCCTATGTAAACCATCACTTACTGCCAACAACTTATATAAAAAAAAAAAAAACACTATTCTCAAATAAGGTTAATCTCTAGCAAATGGGGAGGGACAGATGCTAAAAAATAAAAAAATAAAAAAATTCCAACTCAGCACTGAAGACACTGAGAATTGGCCTCACTATTAACCCAAAGAAAATACTTGTAAAAATTAAATAAAATTCTAGTTAACAAAAGTTCAATGTCAAGGAAGGTCCTAGTATGTACTTTAAAATTATATTTATTAACATTAACAGGATCCATAAAAAATAATGTACTACTAATTTTGTAATTTTTATAATGAGGTGATTAAATATTTCAGTAGAAATGAAAAGTATTAACCTAACTGCATAAACAATCCAGGTTTTCCAGGTCTTCAGTTCCTATGGAATGATCAGTGTAGTCGAGGTGAAAACTCACAGTGAGGTACCTGACAACCCCATTCTTTACATTTGCCTTATTTATGCCACTGGAATACAGAAAGCATTTTTATTATTTCCTGGAAATGTGGATATGCATTTGTATTTGCATGTCCTAAGAAGTTACGAACATCAATAATATATTAATTCCCCAAATACAGGAAAATAAACGCCTAATACAACCAAACGTAACTAAAGACCACAAAGTGGTATGAATTTTGGGTCCAATAATTGAAGAGGTATGGATATTCCGTATGCAAAAAATAAAAATGACTTACTCAGTTTTCTGAAAACATTGTTTTAGGAAGAAATTTTCATATCCTAATCTTCATTTGCCAATTTAGTTCCAAATTGCCAATAATGCAGAATCAGAACATTTGATTCAGCTATATCAACTCACTTCTACTTCCAATTCAACACCAATGACGATGAAGTTGAGAGGTCATAGTAACTTCTTAAATGCCAATACAAAAAATATAAATAACTATACAGCAGCAAAAGTTGCTGACTCTAACTAAACTAATAAAAATCAAAGATTAACTGTGTTATATCTAACTTGTGACAGAAATATAAAAAGAAACCTTTTAACTTTAGCAATGGAGAAATAAAATATAATCGCATACGTTACTTCAAGTTCCTACCACAATTTATTCTATTTAATTAAAAAAAAAAACTTGTGGTGTACCAGACTCTCTGTAAGACTCTATAAAATAATTTCTAATGATCACAAACTACACTGGAATATGACCAGGAACTCATTACTACCATAAAACATCTTTCACCACACCATCCACCACAACAATATTAAGTAGGAACCTACCTGTTGGGGATAAAAACCATAGTGATTCTAACTGTTGTAGTAAAAATAGGAGATAAAAAATTCTATTATCACTACTCACCATTTACTAAGCACACCTTCTACTCCTATGAAAGAAAAAAAACTTTGGAAGACAAAAAGAATGACTTATAAAATATATCAGATGTTTGAAAAGTTTCTACACTTTCATTTTAAAAACAAGCCCAACTATAGAGGAGTTCACCTCTCCGATAAGTAGCATATTATGAATGCTCCGTGCATGTGTGTGCTAAAGGAAAAGGAAAGAAATTCTTCAACAGACTTTGAGTCTCCCAAATATGGTGAGTGTGACTAACAGCTGAGAGGAAATGCAGCTGAAACTGTCTGGAAATCCATTAAAAGCTAGGCACAGAAAAACGCCTGGATGACAGTCTAGTTAGATGTGCAAATTTGTGCAGGAATGTAGCCAAATTTTGGCAAATTTCCTCATGGTCTTAGATTTATTGACAGTGGCATTTCTTTTTCTGTTGTAATATTATGCTCAAAGAACATTATTTGAATGAAAAGGGTTGCTCTAGTCTTTAAAACAAATTGACTTAAAAATTGGGTTTATAAAGGCATCTACAAAGGCTGCAGGCATTTCAAATAATCCAGAAATTTGTACAAAATACTACATGTTCCACATGCCACAAAAAGAAAAAAAAATAATACTTTGGCAGGAGGGGGAAATAAGTGTGCATTTTTCATTTTTTGTTAAAGTTCCTTAAGTGTATCATTTTTACTTGTTTCTGCTAAAGTAGTTTTCAGGATTATTATGGTGCCTGTAAAGGATGATTATTTTAAAGCATATGTTCTTCATGTACATCTTTATAGACTCTTCTTTACTCCAGTGTTTGCTTGTTCTTAGGAATAAAATAAGAAACTATTTTACAACTCACTTAAGAGCCACATTTCATGACATTCAGTTTGTTTTGATCTCCTCCAGAGCCCCCAGTGTTTGGAATGTCACATTGAAAAATGATAGCACACTGTTTTTACTTTCAGGGCTTGTAATTTAACATGGCTATAGGTTAAAAAATACATATTCAGAGCCTCCCCGGTGGTGCAGCGATTGCGAAGCTGGGTTGCGAAGCTGCCCGCAGCCTCTGCAGCACTGGTTCAATCCCCGGCTGCTCCCCGGCCACCGGAGGAGGGTCCCACATGGCGCGCAGACCTCTCCTGCCGTGCCTGCTGTTCCCCTCAGCAGTGTATTCAGTCTGTCTGTTCTGCTCCCCGCTCTGGCTCTGGTGAATTCTCTCACCCCCCTGCGCTTCTGACTGTACCCAGTGCTTGTATAAATAAATAAATAAATCTTTAATATATATATATATTCAAAAGTACAAATATTCTATAACTAGCTGTCACAGGTAGAACAATGTAAGTTTCCTTCAGAATGCTCAATTTATTTCAGAACATTTACAAGTGAGCAGTAGTAGGTAAAATTTATACAGCATGTTGCAATTAAAGAAGTGACTCTCATAAAGTCACAGAATCCTGAAAATTACCCGTTTATTATTAGCAAAGAACCCTAGTTTATTAGCAAAGAAACTGAGGTCAAGGAAATTGAAGTGACTGAACCAACTTTACACACTAAATAGTGAAGTCAAGTTTCCAATGCAGTTCTCCATTAAAGCAAGGTTGCTGTCTCTGGATTTACAATGTTTAAGGTCTCTCGTCTAAGTAATCTCATTTGATTTTTACAAAAACCCAATGAGATAATGACACTTAATAGTAAATGAATACACAGTATGGAACAGGCACTGTCCTCCTAGTGCTTCATCTTGTCCAAAGGCTTCGTAAAGGGTTTATATCATTATCCCATTTTACAGGGGTAATAAACTGAGGTGCAGGGAAAATACTACACTTCAAGATCTCAGAGCTTGGCGCTAGTTTCAGTGCCTCCCTTTCCACCACACCTCACACTCTAGCAGGTAAACATAAAATAGGTTTAGAACCTTGCCAAAGTCACAAGGAAACAGCAGAGGCAGAACGAGAATCACGATTGTAACCCTTCACCCTAATCACTTTCCCGGAATGTAACTGGAATACAGTACTTGGTATCACTAAATCTGGAAGACACTCCTGAAGGGGGCTCTTGGGGTAAACTGTGCTGGAAAACAGAGGCACAGTAACAGGGATGAGTCCATCAGGTGAGAAATAACTTATCTCCCACAGACTGGGGGCAGAGGAGCATAAAATAACAGGTATGTGAGCAGAGACAAATGCATTTGCTATTCTGATGTAAGGAGTGTGCATTAGGGAGGAACTAAAGCACAAGACTTTGTTTTGAGAGAAAATATAAAACAATGGGGAGGCCTGGGCAACACCTCCAAAATGACTGATATCTCAACTCGTGCCTCCAGTAGCCAGCACCCAGGAAGAACTCGAGCACAGAGAGAATGTGACTACAAGCGGTTCTTCATTTTTCTTTTCTTTAGCAAAATGTCATTTTCGGTTTATCAACCCCGTTTCACTGTTTACAACCTTCCGGTGGAGCAGAGAGAGGGGAAGGGGAACAGTCAGCATAAAGGGCTGCTGAGCATTGAGTATTTCCCCCAGCATTAATCGGTGCTGGTTACTTGAGCACACAGGTCTTCCTCACAATCATGCTAAAATGGGAGGAAGAAATCACAACAAAATTCCAGGCAAATGAATATACTGACATGCCAACCTCAGTAAAGTTCTTGTTAAAAGTAGAATTTGCAGCACATAGACGGAAAAAAAAAAAAAAATCACGGTAGCTACCAAACATAAGGCTTCCAAGTAACAGCACTTTTTAGAAGAGAAACTGAATGGGAAGTCACCCTCATGGAATTTTTCTCATTACTTAAAATAAACCAGGTCACTGAGATGGGCTTACACTATGTCAAGTTGTTCATTTGAACTTAATTTTTATTTCATCGAACCATAAATTCCCATGGAAATACCTTAGACACGTGCTGACAATAACTGGAATGCCCAACATTTCAGAAGTACTTTTGCATGAGTTCAACAAACTAAAAAGAATGCAGTGAGGTCCCTCCAAGCTTTTTGCCTTTGTCAACGGCTATTTTATGGGTATGAATTATCTCTGTAGCTATAAAACATGTGTAGAACACATTACACGAGTCTGCAAGAAGTCTTAATGGGACAGACCAAGGAAAAGATCTGAACTATACCCGGAAAGAGCAGAATCCACCGGAACTTCCTAGAAAACAGCAATCCTATTTTTTTTTCCCAAAGCCATTACTGTTAAATATACCTCGATGAATTAACTTCAAGTGTAACTACCACTGAAATGCAGGATTTGACTGAGCCGTGACCTATATTTCCTCTCAAAAGCAAAAAGGGAGTCATGACAGTTGTGAGACTGCTCTTTTTCTATTCCAGGGTTTTTCTGCAAGTTATTTCACAGTAGAGCCAAACTGCACTTAGTGCCAGTGATTTGCTTTAAAAAATACTTACCTTTGCTGCTGCTGCTGCTGCTCATAGGCTAGACCTTGAACCACAATTGAATAAATGATAGCTACATCTGTTCATATAACTTTTCAACTGTACACCAAGAGGCATTCAGGAAGGAACTAATCTCAATATGCAACATGATAGCGAAGTCCACAATGATAAGTAAATGATCTATTTACATACAACAGAACCAACAATCAACAGGACAAGTACAAAAGTAAGACATAGGCAGTTGAAAATACCCACCCCTAGCGGAAAGCTTTTTGGTGTTGATAATTTTGGCAGCATATTCTTGTCCAGTAGGGATTTTCATACATCTTCTTACCACTGAGAATGCCCCCCTGAAAACCAATAATTAGCAGGTCATCAATTTAATCAGCTCTGATAGTCTACTAAAAAAAAAAAAAAATACAACCACCTAGGCATTTTTATTGCTTTCAGTGAACTGTGAATTACCAGTGCACTACAGGGACCATCCAGAAAGGGAGCAATTCTTCCTTCTAACTCAGACCTCCTTTAATGGTGAAGAATAAAAGTAAATTTCCTCTAACTGGGAGCACAAAGTAGTCACCAACAAAATGAAAGGGAAGGCCAATGACGGTAGCTTTCCTCTGTACATTAAATTTGCAAACATTTTACAATTTACACTCGCACAGCACCAAATGCTGAGAAAACCCTGCAAAGAGCAGAACTGAGAAGCAGCAGAATCAGCTGGCTATTTATTTTGGTGGTGGTGGTGCTGGGGGGGGGGGTGTTTAATGTGGCTCCAAGTCAGTAAATATGGCGATTGTTTTCATTAAAATACAAATGCTGGGAACATTTGTGTGGTTTTACAAATCCCGATATGGTGATTTCTCTGTGCCCAGTTTTAAGCTGGGGGAGGGGAGGGATTTGAATTAAGCAGCTCTTCCTACAGAGGCTCCATATTTAACAGCAGACAGTACATACATATAGAAAGGCATAACCTTCATTATATGTAAGAGATAATTACAGGGCCCGTCATTCACCTGCTCAAATCCACATCATCACGTAAACGCACCCCCTTTCATAAGTAGTAGAACTAGCTCTGGAGAGATTGGGTTTTGGTTTGACCCCTGGGTCCCTAAAAACAGGTCCTCGGTAGCTCCCCTAGTGCCCCATACTATCTGCAAGTACTGATGCCAGTAAGTGCAGGGGATCGTTTATTGGACGCTAGGCTCCCCTGGGGAAGGTCCCCCCAGATCTCCAGAGGGCTTTTCCGCCGCCTGCATAAATCAATCCTCCCAGAGAACGCAAAGGTGCACGAAAACCCCAGGAGGGCGGATACGCGCAGAAGATGGTGCAAAGAACATAGTAGGTGTGGGGCTGGGGGTGGGTGGGTGGGGGCTGTCTCCTTTGGGGGGGGGCCCTTTTCCGGGACAGAACAACTACTGGATGCGAAATAGACTCTACGCCAAGTTGAACTTTCGGCATCAATAAATATGGCACCGTCTGTGGCAGTAAGTTCTCCTCAGTACGTGGGTCGTGCGCCCAGCACGCCGCCTAAGCGGGAGGCACCTCTATTTACAGAAAACAGGATCTATGTTGCGTTTTACATGGGCCCTTCTTTCCTCTCCACACACACACACACACACACACACACACACACACGCGCACACACACACAGAGACACACGCGCGCGCGCTCGCACCCTGAGCAGGATGACAGCTCCAACTGCAGGGCTCGTAAATCCACCGAGTCGCCAGTGCAAGAGGGTGGAGCAGCCGGAGAGGTGGGCTGAGGCTCCCAGGCAGGAGCCACGGCTGGGGTGGGGGCTCGCCCTCCTCTGTCCCCTCCCCTCGCTCAAAGCACCTTCCCCGGAGCTGCTCCAGGGGGGCCCCCCTGCTCCCCTCCCGCTCGCCTGCCCCGCGCAAAGCCGGGGGGCCCGGGGCACCGGCGACCCGCCCTCTGCTGGAAAGGGGCCGCGCGACGCCGGGCTCGGGCGCTTACTTTCCGAGCTCCTCGAAGAGCTGGTACTCGTCCGTGAACCTGGTGCAGGTGGTGGTCGAGGCCATCCTGGCTGCGGGCTGTGCCCCTGGCCGGGCGCGCGGCAGGCGAGACGCGAGCAGGCGCGCGGCTTCCGGGACTGGCCCGCGGCGCTGTCACCCGGGGCCGCCCTCACTTTCCTCGTCCGAAAGTAGCTCGCCCGGGAGGAGCAGCGCGCGCAGGGGCGGGGCGCCAGGGGACCCGCTGGGGTGGCGTGGGGTCTCCTCCTCGAGGTGGGGCGACGTGATCCTCTTCCTGCTGGCCTCGCTTCCTCCAGCTGCTCCGGCCGCGCCCCCGCCCCGGGCCAGCCCCTCTCCCCCGGGCAGGGGTTAAAGTGCGCGGAGAGGGGCCGGGAAATAGAAAACAGCTGGGCACGGGCGCACGGCGAACAGTTGCGAAACGCGATCCGCACCGGGGCAGGAGGGGCCGCGCCGAGGGTGGGGAGGCCGGGAGGGGGCGGAGGCCTCGCAGCCCCGAGCGCACCGCCCGGGCCCGGCCGCAGCTGTCAGCAGGCGCGGGGCGCGCCGGGGTTCAGCCAAGGGGGTGCGCGCCCTGGCCGGCCTCCCTCCCGCGGGCACCTCGGGGGTCTGGCGCTGCCCGGGAGCCCGCCCCGCTCGAGACTGCGCGGCGAGGGAGTGGGAGAGGCAGAGCGCGAGCGCCCGGCTCCGGCGCAGCCTCGGCGGCTGTCCCCGGGCCCGCGCCTCCGCCCCCGCGCGCACGGAGCCCCCTCCCCGCCGGCCCCACACCTCCCTCTAGCGCCGGCCGGGCTCGGGTGCGCGCCCGCCGGCGGGACAGCCCAGGTGGGTGGGGGAGGATGTGCGGGGGCCGAGCCGAGAGGCTGGAGGTGAGGGGGGCGAGATGGCACAGTCACCCGCCGCCGACACCCGCGGGGAGGCTCCTGCGTGCTCCCGGCCCGATGCAGCCGGGGCTGGCGGGGAGCTGGGCGGCCGCCTGGGGTCGTGGGGACCCCCCCAGCCCCGTCGCAGGCACCGCGCCCCGGGGCCGCTCTGGGCAGGCCCCAGCCGGGAGCCGGGGGCGCCACCACTTCATCTGGGCGCCGCTCCTGTTGACACAGCGGGGCCGGATGTGGGCAGCCGCCTGCTTCCACCGAGAGGTCCCAGCCTCCCCGCGACCGTCGGGCCCCCCCCCCCCACCCAGCCGAAGCCGCCTGCCCAGGCGCCTCCAACGCAGCCCCGGTACACCGCGCGCGCCGGGCTGGCCACGTTTCACTTCTGCTTTGACTCCCCGGGGATCGCGCCCCACCTCCCCCGCGGCCCCTTCGGGGGTCGCCCAGATGCTGGCCAACCCCACAGGCCTGTGTGAACAGAATGAAAGCAAAAACTCCGCGCCCGGCCACACCTCCCCGGCCGAGCAGCTCCCCGAGTTCTGATAGTAAGCGGCTTCTCGCGAGAGCGCACGCCCCGGAGGCGGGGGCGGGGTGCTGGCAAGGTTGGGTGTCGGTCACGCGACCCGGGGAGGGGGGGCTGACATCACTCGCATCACATGAGCACGTCCAGCCCGTTTCGCTTTGCAAAGGGAACCAGAGAAGGGAGAGGTCGCGTGCGCTTCGCGGGGGAGCGCAGAGGTTTGGCCCGGGTGGCACATGCGTGCATGCGTCCCCAAATGGCTCTCTGAAAAAATGAGCCTTTCCAGATGCGTCTTCCTCGTTAACATACCTGTCATTGTTGACGGTGAAGGCGAGAACAGTAATTCTGTGTTGCAGTAACAGTAAGTGCACAGATGGCTGAAGGCTTAAGCCACCCACCCCTGGGCCCGCCTTCCAGGGCAGTGTTCTGCAAACTGCAATCGCTAATGGAGAGGCAGACCGAACTTAAAAGGGCTACTAAAGGGCTTTTCCAAATGACTGCCTTTTTCTGTACATGAGGAGACCATTAAAACCTGGGAATTCTGTTGCGAATTTGTCATTAGTGCTACCTCAAAGACTCAGAAATTTTACTGCTAGAATATAAAAGGTAAGTTGGAGATGAGGGGCGCTAAGATTTAAGCTGTTGCTGGTTCCCAGAGGCTGCTGTTTATTAGCAAATTGCCTAATCCTGTTTCCCCTCCTGCCTGATCTGGGGAATACTGTTTTGCCAATAACTGAGCAATTACTGAAGTGCTCAAAATTCCAAAATGGTCAGTTTTTAATACCTACTAGAGAGAGGTAGAGAGAGAGAGAGGGACAGAGGCAACTGACTCCAAATGGAGTCACTTGTGCTAAGCCCCATGTCAGGCAATCTGTCCTTAACATGTCATCTGACTGCAGTTCAGCCTCTCCCAGGAATATAATCTTCAACCAATCAGTCCAGAGTTACAGCTTCAGCACTACTGAGGTGATCTGCCTGACACACCTTGTTACCCTTAAAGTAAGGTGACCTTGCCACCAATTCCTTTTCCTCACCGTGCCCCTTCCTGCCAGAAAAAGCTTTCATTGGGACACGTACAGGGAGCTCCTTTCTATTCGCTAGGTGGGCCGCACTCTTCGTGAATTATTGAGCAAAGTCAACAAGAGCCTTAAAGTTTACTCAGTTGAAGTCTGTTTCACAATGCTTATTATAACAAAATTGATTTAAGAATGTATTTTGAACCCAGCCATAAAGAGCAAACATAACATTGTATAAAATGGTAGTGACATCAAAAAGATACCAAAAACGATACAGGAAAGGAACCAGGTGTTAAATATTATTAATTGGGCTATAAAGTTCAAAAAAAACCTTTTGTTTAGGCTAAGCTTTTTACTATATATCTTTAATATGTAGCAATTTGGTTCCAAGTTATAATGCAATGATTTAATATTCTTCCTTGACTCTAAACATGAAACGAAAATAAAATTAAACCAATACATAAAAGTAAAATTAAACCGATAAATAAAAACAATTTTTTTTTCAGTTCTGGGAAACTTTTTAAAATAGTCATACTAAGGTCTCATAATCACAGTATTTAATTCAGTTATTTAAACTACCAATAATTGTAAACGGTTATGATAATAGATTGCTACAATAAAGAAAACCTAACTGAGTTTTAACACTGATGTGTTACTAGACAATAAACGCACAAACTTTTTAAGGAAACCGTTGACTTAATCGATATTGACAATATTTCTTGTTCAACATCTTGGACCAATTAAAATAGTTCTCTTACCTAAACAAGCGTTGATATGTCTCTCTGAAGTTCTGACCGCCTTAGGACAGTGCTTGTGAAGTTACACAGAACTTTCATTTGGATTAGCATCTCCTGCTTTTTTACTAGTCTCCAGTTTCTGCTTCCTTACTAGTCTCCAGTTTCCTTACTAGTCCCCACTTCACTTGAGTCAGCACAACATCCAGAATGGTCCCCTTAAAATCTCAGTAAGAACAGATCATGCCTTTGCTCAAACCCTGCAAACTGCACAAGAACCCAAAGTTCCACAACTGGCCTCCAAGACCCTGGAAGATCTGGCCCAGCCCCTCCTCCTTCAGCCATCTGACCTCAGTCTCACCCCACTCCAGCGACCCTGGACCTCTGGCATTCTGGAACATTACTGGCATGCTCTGATGAAGTTTACATTTGTTGTTCCCTCCTTGCAGGCAGGTTCATCTTTACTTGTACCCAATGTAGGATAAATGAGTTAATCAGGCTTTTTATGCCACTAGCCTCTGTGGCTATCACCTGTGGCCTTGATCGTGTTAACACAAAAGGCGAGTGGGCGCAGGGCATGCATGCCTGATTGTGCACACCTGGAGCATGGGTGTGTGCGCATGTGCAAGTGTGCACACCTGTGCCAAAGAGTGGTGTCACCCTGAGGGCGGGGGCTCAAGTTGCTGTCTCTGTGCTGGCTGGTTTCCCTGCTTACCATTACACCAAGGCCTCCAAAATTCTCTTTTAAACTGTTACAACCGATGATGAACCTACCTGGCCCAGGATGGTGGCAAAACACCTCGTATGTCACATCTTCACCTCCTTCCCATTTGTTGTCAAATCTCTTCTTAGTAGGGGACAATCTGTGGCCTCTCTACTAATGATTGCATCCCTCTCAGATGCACATTCTATGCCCATTCCCTGTGTTATTTTGCCCTTAATATCTATTAGATTCTAGCGTCCTATAAATTTTCTTTTTTTCCTTGTTAATTGCATATTCTTCCCAACTAGAATAAAAGTTCCCCAAGGACATGACTTACTGTCCTTTTTGTTCATGGCTCTATTTCCATTAACTAAAATAGTGCCTGGGAATAATAGGTAGGTGCTTGATGATTTTTATTGCATGAGCAAATTATCTGCAGTTTAGTTTCTAATCCCACTTTTCTTATTACAGTGGGTAGTTTAGTTAACACAGGTATAACACATCTTACTGTAAAAGTGACCATTTTCAGTCAAATTGGTCAAAACCATCCCATGATTAAAAGTGTTTATGCAGAGAAATGGTTTTTAAAAATAAGGTAATAATTGGCATCAAGGGGAAAGGATCTAGCACTAAATTTCTTCCCATAGATATCCATGAATGAAGGAATTTCAATATTTTAGACACACTGGCCTTACTAAATTTTACACTGCAATAAAAGACATATGTCAGGAGTTTCATATAGCAAGACCTCATTGTGAAGACACAAGTCAATGTCAGGAAATGGGGAATGTGGCTTTATTTTTTTTGGGGGGGTGATGTGGCTTTAAAATGAAAATGTGAAATGGAAGATGGAAGACAAATCCTAAATGGCAGCATATTTGGTATTCAACTTAATGACAGAAAAAAATCATATCAACATATTGCTTTTAATTACTAACTTTCGACCTTGTTAAGGAGAATACAGAATTCCCAATTTTATTCTCTTTCACATTTTACCCTTTAATATAGGAAAAACAGGGCCTCCCCTGGTAGCGCAGCAGTTGAGCGCTGGATTGCGAAGCTGCTCGCAGCCTCTGCAGCGCTGGTTCGATCCCCAGCCACCGGCGAGGTGCCCACATGGCACGCAGACCTCCCCTGCTATGCCCGCTGCTCCCCTCAGCAGTGTACTTCGGTCCTTCTGACTGCTCTGCTCCCCGCTCTGGTTCTGGTGAATTCTCTCACCCTCCCGCGCTTCTGACTGTACCCAGTGCTTGTATGAATAAATAAATAAATCTTTAAAAAAAAAAAAATATATATATATATGGAAAAACAGTGACAAAGAACAAGGGTAGAACTACAGACTTCAGGAGCAGAAAGGGGTGAGAGCGATTTGCAAAGTAGTTGTAAGCAAAGAGGTGTCAGCAGAATAAATGCTTACATAATAATAACTGCTAAATAAGAACTGCTAGTTATTCTGCTAAATTTCAAACCAATAAATTCACTAGAACCAGGCCCAGCCTTAAAACTTGCTCTACATGTGCTCTATGTCTCTTTTGTGATGTCACCCTCTGACAAAAGTAGTGAGAGACGACTTGGGAAATATCACCACATACAAA